TTTTTTTAAAAAAAACACCTAATCTGATAAATTTGTCAAAGCTCCGAGGAATTTCACTCTTCCTATTGAAAAATTAAGAAAAAGATCGGGTTCCTAAACCTTATGATTAATGGAGAAGACGCCGTGTCCCAATTTTAACATGCAAAATATCACGGCACTTGTACTCTATTAATCACTGATATCAAAATCTCCAAGCAGGATAGAAAGTTTTTTCTGAAAGAAGATTGAAACACTCTGCACATCTCGTGTTCCTCAAAACCACAACTGAATTGATACGATTGTTTCCTATGACATCTGAAATTTAAAAATACCTAAGTGGAATTTTCAGTCGCTAAAACTACCCAGAAATGGGATTGTGGGCCATTTCATCCTACAAAACCTTTGATAGTAATCCTTAAAATTAAACCTACCTTTTCTTCTGTTAATGGGACACGGTGGCTCAGTCAATCAGAAAAGTCGACAGTTCAACGGTTAGAATCCCTAGCGCCGTGTAACGGAGTGAGCTCCCATTACTTGTCCCAGCTTCTGCCAACCTAGCAGTTCGAAAGCAGGTAAAAAAATGCAAGTAGAAAAATAGGAACCACCTTTGGTGGGAAGGGAACAGCGTTCCGTGCACCTTCGGGGTTGAGTCACGCCAGCCACATGACCACGGAGACGTCTTCAGACAGCGCTGGCTCTTTGGCTTTGAAACGGAGATGAGCAACGCCCCCTAGAGTCAGGAACGACTAGCATATATGTGCGAGGGGAACCTTTACCTTTCTTCTGCTTAAACCAACCATACTTGCAGGATGGTATACATTTTGTTTAAGAAGCTCCACCATCCTAACAAACTGAATTTCTACCAGAGTTTTGTTAATATATTTAAATGTTTCAGTCATGTCCCTCCCTTTCCCTTCTGTTCTCCAGACTGTACATATTCAGCTCCTCCCATCTCTCTTAGTATCTTTTGTCTCTCAGATTGTGTGCCATTTGTGTTGTCCATCTCTGGAGTCACTCAAATTTATTCATTCCTTTTTTTAAGTTTCTTTTTTGTTCCTTTTTTGAACTGAGGTCTCCAGAACTGGATGGGGCCCATACAGGGGTGGGATTCAGCCGGTTCGGACCGGTTCGGGTGAACTGGATGTTAATGTAACATCCAGTTCCCCAAACTGGTAGTTCCAAGCACTGGCTGGCCCCGCCCACCCCACTCCACCCCTCCCAGGAGTCTCCACATGACCCATTCATCATGCCAGGTAAGTGCAGGGCCTGCGCAGAGGCTCCGGGAGAGCAAAAAACAGGCCTCCTGGAAGTTCCTGGTCCAGAAACAAGCCCATTTCCGGCCTCCGGAGCCCTTGGGAGGCCGTTTTCACCCTCCCGGAGGCTCAAAAAAACACCCCAAGAGCTTGGGGAGGGCAAAGCCCCCTCCCCACCCCACCATGATGCAGGAGGCCAAGTAAGCCATGCCCACAAAGCAACTAGACAGTGAACGGGTTGCTAATGTTTTTCAGTCCCACCTCTTGGCGCACAGTGTGCCCCTTCTGCCAGCACAGGTGGTGCAGTCTCCAATTCAAGACATTGGTTATCACCTTCAAAACACTGCATGGCATGGGGCAAGGTATCTGAGGAACCATCTCACCCAAAGGGAACTGTCCTGCCCACCCATGCTAGCAGAAGGGGTATGCCATGACCTCCATCGGTCAAGGAATTCTGGCTGGCGATGTCCAGGAGATGATCCTTCTCTGCAAAGACTCCCACCTTCTGGAACCTTGTGTCCCTCAAGGTGAGATCTGCCCCTAAACTTTTGGCCTTCCACGAGGACCTGAAAACATGGCTGTGCCAGATGGCTATTAGTTTGCCCAACAAAATCTGCATTTTATGTTCAGAGTGGTTGCTTAGAAATATTTTCCCGTAAAATAATTCTTCTTCTGTATAACTGGAAGGCACATGTGGTGGTAACACACCACTCCATAGGAATTATTTGTTGTTTAACGACTCCACATTTATTGTGGATTAGAAGTAAATAAAATGGGAATTTATACCCTGCATAGACCACCGTAAAAAAAAAAGAGAAAACATTCTTTGGGGAAAAATAAAACCGATTTCAGTGTTGGAAGAAGCATTAAAGCAAAAGTTAGCCTAAGTTAGCATCACACCACATATCAGTAAGACTCATTGTGCACGCACACACACAGACACCCAAATAAATATGCACAATCTTAAGAGATGCAAATAAACTTTAGGTTCATAAAAACAGCGCTCCAGGTTTTTGTTTTTTTTTAGATGCAAAGAAGAGGCTCAATTTCTGTGCCTTTTTATAGGGGAAGCTGTTGTTGTTGTTGTGTTGCATTTTCACATTAACATTTCAGACTCCTGAGCTACTTTGATAAGGCCTAATTAAAACTCAGACGCTGAATTCTAATTTGATAAGCTTTCACGTTTTCTTCATTTTTTCTCATCTCCCGATTCAAGATAACCTTCTTTCCCCCTCCAAATTCTGGTTCTGGAAAAGGTCAATTGTGATTTTTTTAAAAAAAAAAAAAAAGCCAAGAGCATTTTAAGAATATGTAGAGAGAAGCAATAGCTGATTGAAACTGACATAAACAAGAAAAAATGTAATGAGACTTAAATCTATGTCACACTCCATTAAATGTACCAAGCAATGGGAAACAACCCTGGAGCTAAATATACTTTCAGTTTAGGAATCAGGGCTGAAATTTTGATCTTCAAAAGTAATTATTACTGTTTTGCTGTTTTCTTGCAGCATCGTCTTCAAAAAAAGTTTGAAATAAAATGGAATTTTTGTGTTTACCGTTGGTCTCAGAATCACTTTAATGGTGATATCCATTGAAACTCTTTTCAAATTCCTCTAGAAAAGTTATCTTGTACAGTACAAATTTTTCTATCAAGAAATGAACATTTGGGAGTTTTCTTTTTAAAAAAATAATAATAATTGTTTTTAAATCTTTCTCTAAAGTTACATTACAAAACAGAAAGAAGAAGAAAAACTTTGACTACCAAAATCAAAGAACATGTAGAATATATATATATATATATATATATATATATATATATATATATATATACACACACACACACACACACACACAAGAACAAATAACAAATATATTATTAATATTAACATTAAACATAAAATCCTGGTTGAATGCTAAGAAAAGAATAACTCAAATATCTGATGCCTTCTCCCCCTGTTGCATAACAGAGCTACAAGTAGTTATAAATTTCCCATCTATAATTACTAAAAATGCTATGTTACGTGAAAAGAAATTTACCGTTGTAGAAATCGATTGTCTATCAATCAAGAGCCGAGGTGGCGCAGTGGTTAAATGCAGCACTACAGGCTACTTCAGCTGACTGCAGTTCTGCAGTTCGGCTGTTCAAATCTCACCGGCTCAGGGTTGACTCAGCCTTCCATCCTTTCGAGGTGGGTAAAATGAGAACCCGGATTGTTGTTAGGGGCAATATGCTGACTCTGTAAACCGCTTAGAGAGGGCTGAAAGCCCTATGAAGCGGTATATAAGTCTAACTGCTATTGCTATTGCTAAGTCGACCCACCATCTATCACTAAAAAGAAAGGTATCAGGTAATCCCAAGAACAAGACTCATCTTCAAAGCCCTCTGTTAAGAGTCTGTTATTGTATTTAACAAGTTCACAAACGGCTTCCAAAATTTCAGAGTTTTCTTGTGGTATCAACGGCAGGGTTTGATGATCCAGTTCTGTGCAGATTTTCACTATGATCCAGCTCGCTAGCCAAATTAGGGCCATCTGTTACTATATTATAATTATACTGAATTTTTGAGCTGTTTTTCCCCTTTCTAGTAGTTAATGAAGTAGTCTGTGACCCATGAAAGATTCTGCAATGATATTTCATTTTTAAGGTAGACTGTTTGTTGCTTGTTTGTCGCAAAGTTCAGAAAAAAAGACGAAGCTAACACTGGTACACTGACTGGTCCATCTCTGAGAAAGTTGGTCAGTTAGTATCGGTGATCTAAATCAGAGGTCTCCCAAACTTGGCGACATTAACATTTGTGGATTTCAAGTCCCAGAATTCCTCAGTGTTGAAGCCCACAAATCTTAAAGTTGCCAAGCTTGGAGATCCCTAATCTGGAAGGGTGTCTCATTAGCAGAAGCTAAAGCACAAATAATTGGATTCAAATGAAGGCCAGAATGGATAACATTGCATTTTTAAATGATTTTCCTACTTAGGGGAAGTGGTGAGTGTCGGAGTGGTATGTTCATAGACTGGAATAGACATGGCAACCGGTCAGCCAATAGAGACTGTTTGGATAGATATGGTAACAGGTCAGCCAATTGGAACTGTTTGGAAACTGAAACAGTGTTTGCTGTGTGAGCAACAAGGAGACAGCTAGGAGCCAGGGCATGGTTTAGCTCTGTAGCTCTGAGTCTGTGAAAAGCTCTAAAACTAGTCTGCTGCTCTGAACTGAAACTGTTCTCTCCTCTGCTTGGTTTTTACTTGTATTTACTGCCACGTTGAAAAACATGCTTTTTGGTATTGTATATTTACTTCACGTGTTATATTATATATAAAGAGAAGTTAATGAATCCTGCTGAATCAGCTACCTGTGTGTGCTTTCTGGATGTGATTGCTGCAACAAACTCTGCAAAGTGAGAAGCTAACTCAAAAGTTTGCAATCTTGACAGGTCTTAAAATTACATGATTCTGTGTGGTTTAATACAGGCCATCATGGCTCAGCTTCCTCAGGAGGAGAAGGCGAAAATAGCTGAGCAGGTAGAGATATTCCATCAAGAAAAGAGCAAGCTGGATGCCGAGGTGGCCAAATGGGATGACAGCGGGAATGACATCATTGTCCTGGCCAAACAGATGTGCATGATCATGATGGAGATGACGGACTTCACCAGGTAGGTCCATCAGTGAAGTTTGTCCTTGTGAGGGTTGTCTATGGAGATTCTCAGTCACCCAGATCATGTTTGTCCCAAAGGTTCTGTTCCAAAGTCAACTGCACTTTCTTGGGCTTTTTCTTTGAAAACATTTCGCTTCCCATCTAAGAAACTTCTTCAGAACAACTGAGATGCAAAAAAATTTCAGGAAGAACTGAAGAAGCTTCTTGGATGAGAAGCAAAACATCTTCAAGAAGAACTGAAGAAGCTTCTTGGATGAGAAGCAAAACATCTTCAAGAAGAACTGAAGATGCTTCTGGGATGAGAAGCAAAACCTCCTCAAGAACTGAAGAACTTTCTTGGATGAGATGCAAAAGGTTTTCAAGAAAAACTGAAGAAGCGTCTTGGATGAGAAGCAAAATGTCTTCAAGAAGAACTTAAGAAATTTCTTGGCATGAAGACCAGCTGGGTCCCATTGGGCAAATCACCAGGAGATGGTGAGTTCTAGTCCTATCTCAGGCACAAAACTCAACTTTGGGACAATCACCAGGAGACAGTGAGTTCTAGCCCCACTTTAGGCACAAAGCTGACTGTAGGCCAGTCACTCTCTCTCAGCCCAACTCACTTTACAGGGTTGCTTTAGGGAAAATCGGAGGCAGAAAGAGTGATATGTATGTTCATCACCTTGAGCTACTTATAAAATATTAATGATGTAATAAAGATCTAATAAACAAATTCGCCGAACAGCCAAATGAGCAATTACAAAAATAAATAACAACAACAACAACAATAATAATAATAATTAAGGCCATTAAGGCCAAAATCGAAAAATCTTCTGATGATGCCAAATGCAGACTTTGCAAAGAAGCTGATGAAACTGTTGACCACATACTCGGCTGCTGCTCTCTGCTTCTGTGGGCATGGCTGCTCTCTGCTTCT